TTTAAAAGTTGTAATAAAAGGTATAAATATTATATATTTTACACTACACATCATTTTCTCTTGCTAGTATAAAATTCCGAAGTTTTGTAAATGTTCTTTGAGAGAAGGATATTACTGAAATATATCATGCGACAAAAGCGATATGTAAAAGCAACGACTATGACTGTGAGTTGCTCGTTGATTGCGAGTTGCTAGCGTGCACCTTGAAAAATATTATGTATGAGGCTATGAATAAGTGAAATAACACTCTGAAAAATATATTACTTTATTAAAAAAGTATGTCTCTTTTACTTCCATTCCTATTTTTGAAAAAGAAATATCTGCGTAGGTATGCGATAATCTCATACATTAGTGTTAGATAAAATTCTTTTTTTCGGGGGCTGTTGAAGATAAAAACTAAAAGGATGTCTCTTTTACTTCTCATCAAAATGTCTCTATGTGGGCATATATTAGATAAAATTCTTTTTCGGGACCGAATGTTCTCCTCAAAGGGTCTCGAACTTTCTGGAATATTCGAGAATATTCTAGAAGACGGCGCACGGACGGGTGGCAGGAGAGGAGGAAAGGCGAGTGGGTGGCGCGGTCCGCCCACGAACCATTGCCAACAGGAAGGGAGGGAAAAAAATAAATATGTTGGTAAAAATAAATATGTTGGTAAAAATAATTATGTTGGTAAAAATACCGGTAATAGCCCGTTAAAAAAAGTGTCGGTAACGTCGGTAAGTCACCTCTCCCGCGTGATATCAGCCCCCGCGCCAGCAGTTCCCCTCGCCCCGCACCACTCTCAGAGAACCTGGGTTAGAATCTCTGTACTATACCTACTTTTGTCATCAAAGTATTAAATATATCGACATAACTTCCCAGACAGCACATTGTCTAAAAGGGGACATAAGACGTCTTTAAGACGTCTTTAAGTTGTCTTTAAGACAAGTTTATAAAGTATTGTCTTAAAGATGTCTTAAAGTTGCCTTAAAGACGTCTTATGACTCGATTTTGGACATTTGTGCCGTCTGGGATAATAAAACGTAATACACAAGTATCACAATGAAAATATACAGGGTGAGTG